ATGTAAACACCTTTCGAAAAGACTTTGAGCGAAGACTTTGAAAGGTTTTAAACAAAGTGGAAAACTTCAAAAAAAGCCGCCATGACTTCGTGGGTTTTCGAAACTATTGCGGGGTTTTCGAGACTATTGCGGGGGAAATGAAAGCGGTCAAGAAATTGATATGTCTATACGGAAGTATCACTCATTTCTACTGTTTAAAACAAAAATATATTATAAAGAAGCGCTTTCCGTTTACGGTCGTCCATGTTTCACCTGTTGTCTGTGCAACAAGAAATTTTCTACCAGCCTCGTTCCCAGGCGCTTTAAATGAAATAAATATAGGAACATTACGATTTTATAGGATTTATTTCGATTATAAATTATAATATCACATAATATTATTTAGCTACAACGAATGATGAACGACGAACGAGTTGATTATACTTTGTGCATGAGAGAGTATATTATTCTCAATTATTTCAACTCTTGTTTATGGACCCCACACTACCTCTTCCGCAAGCCTTTTCGGGCAAATATGACGGGCGATGACATTTTGCCACCCTAGCGCCTGCGCAGGAGATCGAACCCACATATAATTCTGTTCCTTTCAGTTCCTTTGTACACATACTCGGAAAGAAAAATTCATAAAATAGTGTTAGTGCAAAGGATCTCTTGCTTTATTTCCGCAATGGCCGTTGAATGGCAGGTTAAACCACGTATCTTTCAGATCATAAAAGAGCGCGTCTAATCCATTAGGCTCATTTCAACGAAGACTGCAGCTATAACTTCAAGCTAAGAAAAGAAGAAGATCAATAAAAAATTCAAAGATGTTCAAGGTATTAATTTTACCCTTGATGGATTTGTCTTGCATAGTATAGTTATTTAGTTTACAATATAATTGTATTTAAAAGGCATTTTGACGTTTGCGATAAGTCTCATGCAGTATATCTGCCATTGCTTTTTGCTAATTGGAACTCAATTAACGAATAGCAAGCGCCTATAAAATTAATGTTTCAAAAACGTTTACAGGTCAGTTCCCCTTAACCGAAATGCTCATGCTTGCTATACATACGGATTTTAATAGCGACACGAATCTCAGCACTGACAAGCATTATTGATCATTCATCTGTGAATTTGTTAGTGGAGTGCTCTGAAATAAATTTTTCTGAATTTTTTATATATATATATATATATATATATATATATATATATATATATATATATATATATATATATATATATATATATATACAGAAAAATGATGGAAGGTTATAACTTAAGCAAAGGGAAATTTAAAACATTTCAATGGTTTTTCATCATATTTATTTTAGATCGCTCTGATTGTTGCAATTGTCGCCAGCTTCATATTTCTCACAGATGCTGAAAATCGAGTCTATGAAAGGTTTTTGAATGCTGACGATAAGAATGGTGTCGGAAACAGGTATGCTCGTATATTATCATCTACTTAATCTCCCCCTGAATAGTATTTTTGACTGACATTGTTCGTAGTCATCGATTTTCGTAAATGACTGAGACCAAATTCATGAGCAGTAAAATTTATATTTATATTTTTATTTTGGCTACTATATATAATCATTGACATTGCCTATTTGGAATATAAATGTGCATAAATTTAAAAATATAGATATTGCCTTTGACAAGTGCAATTTATAAACTAGTTAAGAAAAATATTATACATTGTATTTCAGCAGAGATTTTGCACTTCAAAAACGTCAGTATCCGTATACATTATGCACTGATCCTGTTCAAGATAAGAAATGCGACATCCGGAGCAACAAGTCGATCTTAACACAAGAGAAGGTGTTTTGCCTGCCTGTTGGAAGCCGTTGCGTGGCGCACTACCGCAGTTAGTTTGAATCCTTGGTGGAAAAGATGTTTATTATAAAGAAGAAAGGAATTTACACAATTTCAGTTAACCATTATACCGTGATATATGTTAAAAAATTTAAGCATGTTGGTTTTGAACATATAGCTATGTAGCTATATAATTATAAGTTAAATAAAAATATATAACTTCAATAATATCATTTATCGTTTTAATCCACTGCAGAATAAAAGTCCTTTAAAATTATAACGAAAAAAACTATCAAAATAATAAGCATTTACTAGCTACTACTAATCGTTGCTTCATAGCGGCAAACGAGATGTCATGATGAGCACACCCTGCATGCAGTACCGTGTAATAGGACCCTATAAGTGCATGCTCAGATAAAAAAGCTGGGCACCAAAAATCCTGTCTGTTTCAAAATAAGACGTCGCGGAAGTCAATGTCATCTATCTTAGTTTCCAAAACAGCATTTTAGGTATATATATAAATATATATATTATATATATAATATTATATATATATATATATTATATATATTATAATATATATATACATATATACACCCGTTTCCAAAAACGTTGGCTGCAGTTAGATATATAGATAGATACTCGAAATCTAATTAGAATTGCATACGTTGTGTAATATGATTGAAATCCCATGCAAATGTATTCATATGCAATTCTAATTAGACTTCGAGTATCTATCTATCTATCTATCTATCTGCGGCCAACGTTTTTGCAAACGGGTGTATATATGTATATATATATATATATATATATTATATATAATATATATTATATATATATATATATATATATATATATATATATATAGCTCTTGTCAAAGTCGGACAGGTGGCAATTGGTTTTGCATGACATAATATTTTTAACATTTTTTGAACGTTAACTTTTTTTAAAAAATTAATTTAACAGTATGAAACGTAAACACAGCAATTAAATTTTGTTAATCTCTACGCAAAAAATAAAAAAGTTGAATTTTTCAGGAGGGAACATGGCCATGCAGCAGAATTAATTTAGATAAATATTTTATTATACTTGAATTGAAAGTTATCCCCGAGCCGGTGCGGTGCACCGTACGAGGGTACTAATTCCGCTCGGATATTTACACCCACGATGTGCAAATGCGAAATCAAAGTCGTCCGCCATTATGCAATGGACCTCACGCCATGGACGGTCTTCTACGTTATGCGCATGCGCCAGTGTGAACTACTAAGCTCTTGATTGGTCGAGACAAAAATTTTGTATTTTCAAACGTCGGTGAATAACTGTCATTTCGCAAAATTTTGATGAAATTTTTAAATTTATGTTTTCATATATATGGAATACATGTATTTTTAATTAAATTAGGGGAAAACTCGAATGTGGTCAGGAATTTTCACGTTTTAACAAATAACAAGACCAAATTTTCGAGTTTCGACCGAATTCACCGTGTATAATGAAGTCGGAAGATTTTACACTTGATAATATTTCATCCGGCACAGCTTTAAAAAGTAATTCTCTTGTGGTAAACACAACTTTAATATTCTCAAATGTATTTCACTATAAATCTGAATGTGTTATGTGATAAACGACATTATAACTTCATTTATAAACTCCGTTTTCATAATGACAAAAACCGGTCGAAGCGTAACATAAAACTTCGGAAGTTGTATGAGACGTCTGATGTTATATTTCATTGTAATTAATAATTAAAACAATTTACCATAACACTGACTATAGATGAGTGACTTAACTTCCAGAAAAAGGTAGGAATCTTGTCGTATTTTTGCCATTTTGTCACAAAAATATGAGAGTAAACTTTGATTCTTTAAAAATATACGGCCGTCGCGAGTTCAGTTGCTATGATTACAGTGTTTCCACGTACAGAAAAATATTTCCATACTTTTCTCAATTTCTTTTTCTCTCTATACCATGTACCCTCCAAAACCCCCAACCCACATAAATTTTCTAACAATCATGTTACTATCCCTATGATTAACTGATTTCGTTCAACCGAGGCGAGGGGTTGCTGCATGCATGTATTTCTAGTTCTAGGTTTGAAAGTTATTTTGCCATGATATTCCTCTTTTAGCAGATTGTGCCCTATTGAGCAAGTGACACTCGCGAGTAAGCTCTTTGAATACCAATCTTGTCTTGAATAAACATTCACACTCATGCTCCACTCTCAAAACACTTAAGTTTCACTTAAGTGCATTTAATTTGAATCGCACTCAATTGGGAGTGTTAGTAAGATTTTAGAACACAGACGATAATTTTTTAATAATTATTAGTTATAATATACAATGTCATATACAGGGTGTATAAGGCCTAGGTTATACGTCGCATTTTGGTCGTGTCAAATGCCATTCAAGCACTAGATAATGAGGTGATAAACTTCATTAAGCTCAAGCATTGCCATCTCTTTATCTATTGTTTGAAATGCATTCGACGCGATCAATATACGACGTATATATGAATATTCTTCAATATTAAGTGTTGCCTTTTTTGATACACCCTGTATTCTTTAATTATGCAATGATATAACCTGCCATGTCAGTGGCGTACAGAACGATAATTGGAGGGGGGGGAGCATATTCATATATTCATGTATGAATATTTTTTTAAATCGACTGTCTTTGCATTCTGTTAACATGAATATATGAATTTGCCCCGCCCCTCAATTATCAACGCTTGCTACGCCACAGTGTCATGTTAAACATGTTGTGTATAGCTATATCCGTGCTACTGTTTAAAAACTTATTGCTTTTTCTTGCGTGTCTGTGACACCAATTATGTATTTCATATGCATTAAACGCCGGTAATTTTGACCCACACAAGCGAGATGCGATGCAGCGTGACACCATTATTATTCCGAGTTTTTTAATTTCAAACACTTGTAAAATTCGCGTTGCGTTGTCGCATTGCATTTGCTGCGTGTTGCTCTATCACCGGATGTCTGCGTTCCAACGCAGTTTGCGAATGAAAAAATGTTTGTTAGTAAAACCCAGATGAACAAACATGAACATACTTTACCCGCAAACTACGTCACAAACAGCGGCAACGCAGACTTTTGTAAAGGTCTAATAATTATAATATAATTATAGCTTGCATATTTATTATGCAATTAAGGCACGCAATTAACCTTCAGAGACGCTCATTTGCCATCGCAGAATCGCAGTGTAATCGTTCGCATTTCATCGTTTGCACGCGGAGCCTTGTAAAAGAGAATTCAAGTGTTTTTTCAAAATATTTATTTGTGAAATTGTGAGTACATAATTATTTCTAGCAATATTTGTTATCAATTTTTTAATACATCACTTAAAGTCCTTATAATTATTGACATAGCGAAGTACTGTGTATAAAATTATACGCCTTTCGGCTTTCTGAAACAACATGCAGGCACTTTCACATCACGAACAACTCAACAACTTTGACTAAGATATAATAATCGTATTATTGTGGCGTAAAAGCTGAATGGATAAATTAGCAACGGAACTCACTATGCGGGATGTTACTTGTGGGGGATGGTTTTAATTTGTTAACAAGAGAAGAGACCTAAATGCGACGTATAACCTTGGCCTTACGTCAATGAGTGCAACTCACCACTCAATGAGTGTCCACTCACACTCACATAATTATAGTATAATGCTACACTTACGCTCCAACTATCCAAAGACACCACTCACACTCACACTCAATTGAGGCTCAGATTTTGAGTGAAGTGTGAGTGAGAGTCATACGTTCCTTGAGATGTCAGTTATGCCCAGGTGTATGATGATTCAAATGGTTCATGATATAGTTAATGATTCAAGGGTGACTGCCACCTCGTTGAGTTGCCATTCACACTCATACTCAACTCTCTCTCACAATTCAGTTCCACTTGAGTCCATCTCACTGAAATCGCACTCAACTGTGAGTGTGGGTGAGCTTTTAGAATACAGGCTTAAGGCTGGATTTCCACTTAAAGAGAAATATTTGCCTATATTCTTTAGAATTTTAAAAGCATAAATAACTTATTTCAACATGGCTGTTCTCAATTTAAAAGAAAATATGCAAATATTTCGCTAGCGAACTATTTCTTTGCAAGTTGAATTCATCCTTACAGTCGCTGTTTTGGGACTTTATGTTAACTAAGGTGAAAATGTGTGTAAAAAATTATACTATTTCAAAACCTCCTATACTCAGCTTCGGCGTGAATAAAATATACTAAAAAAATCTTGATTGGTTCTTGCAGAAATTTGGTTGGGCAATCTTGTACCTGTACTCGTATATTCAAGTATTTGTCCGCAAACAAAAAGGAAAAGAAACGTTGAGAATGCTACCTAAACTCGCGAATAATTTTCAAATCCTGTTTGACTACTTAATACTGCTGTGCGTAAAGGCCTCTGCCTCCCTGGATTCAAGTGCTATATTCAAGATTTCCACCTCTGGTGAGTGAAATTTAAGCCACATTTATTTTCTCAGTACTAATTTGGCTAAAGCCAGTTTTCCATTAGGCAAATTTATTCGTGCGACGCGAAGCGATATGTGAAATCCGGTGATGTGTTTGGTTTGCGAAAAAATTCGCCGCGAAAAGCAGAATCGCTTGCTACATTTGTAAATGAAAGGACGATAAATTAAATATTTGTTATTTTGAATAAATAATTTTTTTTTCGTCACCGGCAACAAATATCACCTCACCGACTGTCAGTGATATATGAAAACCAGCCTTTAGGGAATCATTTACTACCATCGTTTTCTCCGTTCAATATCTATAGCAAATTATATCACGTAGTGTACCAAAAAAATTGAAAAAGCAGAAAAAACAAATACAAATTTGTGTGCTTTGTCAATGGTCTTAGTTAATGTTGTTTTGGTCTCGTGAAAGGCAACACAACACCCTTTGTATCTCAGAGTCAGATAAGCAAACTGTAACGATTATCGTACCGCAATTAACTAAAATATACTCTAATGTGTTAATGTAGGTACTACATATGTATACGTCCGTATTAATTTTATAAAATGCCCCAGTATGAGGGTAAATGACTAAGAAATCGCTCGAATGATTTGCCCTCAAAATTCAATGCAATGCATCGGATCCTGTTTTATATAAACCCATTAATTCAGATGCCAGCGATCGTTCCTTATCTTAAGACTAGATATCAAAATACTGTCAAATATTCTGATCGTTGATATTTTTAGAATTATAGTGAATGAAAATGTAAACGAGACGTTTGTTAACCTTAGCACTGTAACCTACCTTTACGACATGTTTAATTGGTTGTTCAATTGAAGATAATACCTATCGATACCACGATGTCTACCACTGATGCCAGTGTCTTCCACGTGAACTCTATTTACATGCACCCTTTATAATCCAATGCAGTGATCCTGTTTAAAATCAATCCATCCATTATAATTTAATTTTGTTGTAATTCTACAGGTCATCGCCTTACAAATCACGTGGTCAGTGAGCGTGAAACATCAAATGTTTTGGAATGTTCTTTGTACTGCCTCAGAAAATCTTCTGTTTGTAAATCTTTCAATTACAAAGCAAGGAAACGCGAACAAAATTTTAAAAATTGTCAATTAAATAACGCCACAAAATCTATGAATCCTCAGAACATATTGCAAGATAACAAATATGATTATTATGAGATGTTGAACAAGGTATTTCATACTTCGAATCGATATTCCTTTTTGTAAAATACTGGAATTGTAGCTGCACCGATATTGGGTCTTTCTTTCTATTATGAAAGCAAAGAAGCTGTGATGTGTGAATATTTCTAACTCTCCTATTTCTAATTTCAGGAAGATAACAACAACGAACAACGCATAGTCTCTAACAAAACAAAAAGCTACGGTAAAAGCACTCAAAACCTTTGCCTCCATCTAATTTGGAAAATCGGCAAAACGCTTTTTTTAAGAAGTAATGGCTTTCTAAGTGGAGGTAGCAAAATGGCCGCTTTAACATTTATAGTGTGGGGGCGGGTGGGGCAGACGTGTCGAGGCCCGGACGGAATGGCCTTTTTTAATTGGTTTATATTATTATTATGAAATGTTGCTTTATTAATATTTAATTTTTTTCTTCGCGATTGAAAGTTTTCCTTATCGCTTTATATAATTATTTAATAGAAAATTGCAGGAAAATCGAGAGAGTTGGTGAACCAGTCCTTCATCGTCAGTCTGGAGAGACGTATGGAACGTGGATGAGAGATCCTCTAGGGTTGCTTAGTTCCGAAAAAATTTGGTACATAAATGGTTTGGGTGGGGATGAAATGCTTGAATTTGAAAACATGAGTCTTTTCAAGAATGGCTCGGTTACGAAATCCTACAGCCTAACGTATGAAGGCCCAGGAGCTGAAGGCACAGGATCTGTTGTATATGGGAGGTACCTGTATTTTAACAGGTATGTAAATGTAAGGGGGGTTTTCATTCAGAGGAAATGTTGACATTGTTGCAATTTTTTTTCTATCCTACTCACAGACAGCTAACTGCAAATATTGTGAAGTACGATTTACTTACCGAGAAGGTGATCAGAGAAGAAACTCTTCACAACAATATAATCCCACGACTGTTTACATACCAATGGGGGGGTTACACCGGAATAGATTTATCGATTGACGAGAACGGTTTGTGGGCTCTTTACACACTTCCCGCATACAATGGGAGCTTATGTGCCAGCCAACTCGATCCTTCCACACTTGGCCTTCTGAAAACCTTCTGTAACGTGTCACCTAAACCCATGGAGAACATGGGAAACGCATTTGTGGCCTGTGGAGTCATTTACAGCATTGATAACTACAGCGCACGCCAAACAACTATTAACTACGCCTATAACACAACCAGCAAAACTGCGACCAGCCTAGCCATTTCGTTAGTTAATAAGTTTGGTTACAACAGCATGGTTACTTACAATCCACGCGAGAAAGTTCTTTACTCGTGGGACTCAGGGCACCAAATAACTTATCCTCTGGAATTTGAAGACTGACTTTATTTATCACATACAGTATCACTAAGCAGCTTTCAGAACTTTTATATCTGAGCAACTGTAGACCATAATTTATATGTAATAATTTGCTGCCGCATGCATGCTGCAAGTTATGGCTTTTAAACTGTCAATGTATGTATTGTTTGTTTCTACATTGTCAATAAATCAACTGATCATGGTATTCACTGTATGGGGATTATCAAATGGGGCACGTTAAGCTTTATATAAAAGTTCTTTAACTTTCTTTTAAATTGACTTTCAGTATATTATATTGTTCTTACGTACAGCACAGTCCATGCATTTTTTAACATAGCGTGATTAAATTGTTAGTTAAATTGAATAATTAAAAAATTTGGAGAGAATATTATATTTATTTTGGTAGTTATTAGCGGCATAATTAACCACTTTAATGACTAAGGAATAAAGCAAATTATTATAGTATTATGGAATATCAGCATTGCCATAGTATTACGCATACATGGGCAGGAATAATGCTTCCGAGTATATCATTTTACTGGGATCAGTTTGTAGTAATTATATACATAATATATAAAAAGGGATTCATTTGTACAACCGTTTTGGTTTTTTCTGCATGATTTCGAATTGTAAAATACTGGTTTTTGCAGTAAACTATAATCTTAATTGAATCAAAAACAAAAAACTGAGCTCGCCCACTTTTAATATTAAACGATGGAAAATGGCGTCATCACATATACCGGTCATTAGAATGAAAGTCTATGCGTCGTATTTTCATTTTATGAAGACTCAATATAATGTTAATTGTTATATAGGTGCTGTGTATTTTGAACTTTAAATAAATGCAATGTTTCTCTCCAGGGAAACAAGTAAAAATTTGTTGCCCGCGTCATAGGCGTAGAGTATGGCGGGTTTGAGGGGCTGGAGTTCCCCGAGAAATTTTACTGGGGGGGCTCAGCCTCCATAGAAATTTTCTAGAAGGTAAAAATTGCATCGGAGCAATGTTGAATCTTTGAAAAGGCATCCGTATATGAACATGAAACGGTATGATTAGAGATTAACGCTAAAATATTAATTCGGACCGCAAGAAAAAAAATAAAATGATATATCAAACAATTTGAAGAAGCAATTGCAAAATACGGAATTTCGATCCGCAGTCACTATTTCTGTATCCTTATTTTAAGCAGAGAGACTTTTTAAATTGGCTTAAATGAAGTATATGCCTAAGTTAGCCTAGATAGATTGGTCATTTTTTTTAAGAAATGCAATTGGTCCTATTTTAATAATATCGCTGCTATTTCACCGCTTAACAAGATGTGGTCGTGTATGGGCGCGTTGACTCGTCGCAGTTGGCACAGGATTGAAGATTTAATATAAACGCGAATTCCAAAGTGTAAGACAAAGTGAACGTATTTTTCAATGCAATGGGTCTATACACATTTGGACACAGTCAGTTGGCAGAACGTGGAAACACCCAAGGTAAGAAATCCGATCATCAAAACGTTGCTAAACACCAGCACTATTGACCCAGAAGTCGGCAAACAGTGGCCGCCTGCCCGCCTTTAAATTTGCAACTGTAATACGTAAGATAAAACTTCGAAGTTGCTTTAATTTCAAATTTTGTCTCCTTATATAATTCTATTATAACAAGGCAGCCATCTTTGATTGTGAAATCCTAGCATTATGATAGTAGCGTAATTCGGGGCAAAACGCGACGGTGGGGCTAAATGAGACACTTGTGTAAATATGAAGCTGTTGTAAATATGTAAATATTTCACGTATTACCGCAGCCCTGTGATTGCAAGCATTACAGGCTCATAAACAAGTATATTTCGAAGTACTCCAACATGGTTTGAAGTTCAAAGCCCTTTTACAAGCAAAAAAATAACAGTTTTTGTGGGTTATGCCAACGCTGGCGTATCAAAGTTAAGGTATGTTATTACTGAGCACATTTATGTAATTTCTTATACTCTTTATTCTAGCGCAGCTAGGAAATAACCCCAATATGTTTTGTATGTAATAACATGTGGCCTTTCATGTAAAAATGTATTTTGCTCTTCTTAGGCTAAATTTATGCTTTTTTGAGCCTTTGGTTAACCCAATGTAGCGTGGGGCTAAATGAGACAGCCCAATTTTCTTATTAAGTTATCTATTCCAGTTGCTTTTTAAGCATTATAGTTATCTTTTAGCGCTGTATATCGACATGTTTGATGTGTGGTGACATTGATTGTTGATTGCATCATGTCCACTACCTTTCACTGCCCTAGTTATAACATAACAGCATTTTAGATAGTGAATGATTACAACCACATCTTAAACCTAAATATTGGGCATCCTTGCCCATACAATTTGTATTAGCTAAGTAAAATTTTTGCATGAATAATATATGTAAACACTTGGTCATACATTAGGCTACCTTTAGAACTTTTTTGCCTAGTTTTCAAGGTGTTAATATGTCTACCAATATATTTTTTAGAATGGTGCGAAACTACATACGCAAAACAAACCGAGCCAACTGGTCAGAAGACCAGATGAAACTGGCCATCTTGGCAAGTGGATAACAAAGAATTTTCCATAAGAAAAGCAGCTGCCTGTTTGGTCTGCCAAAAGATTCGCTGAATCGCAGAGTTAAATGTAAGCTAAAGAGTCTACCTGCCGAGGGGAGGCATAAAAACATCTTGGGACGCTATCGGGCAATCCTAAGCTGTGACCAAGAGAAAGAGCTTGAAAACCACATTATAATGATGGATCAAGCTTTTTATGGCCGGTCAATAAATGACATCAGAGCTAATGTGTATGACTAATGCCAAAAAAACAATATTAAAAACAATTTCAACTCTGACAATAAAATGGCTGGTCGTGATTTTGTCGAGGGGTTTATGAAGCGCCACCCAAAGTTGTCACTTCGAAAGCCAGAAGCAGTGTCTCTAAATCGAGTTCTTGGTTTAAACAAGACCTCTGTGAATAATTACTTTGACAATCTTGAAACAGTTCTAAATAAACATAAGTTTAGATCACATGAAATTTTTAATTGTGATGAGAGTGGCTTGACCTGCGTTCACAAGCCGGTAAAAGTTGTTGCTTTAAAAGCGATGTGTTTCATCGGTGACAAGTGGTGAGCGAGGTCAGACGACAACAATCTTAGTGGCATGCAGTGCATCAGGGACCTACATCCCACCTATGATGATATTTAAACGAAAGCGCAACAGGCCAGATTTAGTGGATCATGCTCCTGCAGGCACAATTGGTAGGTGCTCTCCAAATGGATGGATCAATGCTGACCCATTCCTAGAGTTCTTGAAGCATTTTGTAACATTTACAAAGTGTTCGAAAGATTCCCCGGTGTTGTTGATCCTAGATGGTAATAAAACACACACCAAAATCCTGTCCACCATAGATTATGCACGTGATAATGGTGTGGTCATTGTATCCCTGCCACCACACAAGTCTCACAAGCTGCAACCACTTGATCGTAGTTTCTTCAAACCACAGAAGAGTGCATTCAATGGAGTGTGTTCTGCTTGGATGCAAAACCACCCTGGCCGCAGAATCACCATTGACAAACTTGGGGAGCTGTTCAACATGGCCTATTTAAAAGCTGCTACTATGGAAAATGCAGTGTCAGGATTCCGGTGCACTGGCATAGTTCCCTTTGACAGAGACATTTTGCCCTCCACTGACTACCTGGAAGATTCTCGTACCATAGATGCACCATCCATTGCCACTGTGCCAACCCTTCCTGACCAAACCTCAAGCCATGGTGAAACATCCACCAGAGGGCCAAGTGAAGAAGCCACAGAAATGTCACCTGTACAACCAGAGCCTGAAAAAGCACGACCACCTCTTGTTGAGCACAACTTTTCCAGCATCATCCAACTACCTTGCCTTACTGAGAAGAAGAAGTCAAAGAGATCAGAGGAGTCTAAGATAGTGACTAGCACTCCTAATAAACAAGCCCTCATTGAGACTATAGAACTTCAAAAGCAGGAGGTAAAACAACAACTTTTTACCAAAGCAAGCCGAGCAAAGAAAGCTGCAGCGAAAGCGCAGAAACCACTAAAAGCGAAAAAGGCCAAGATTGACAAGCAGTCGTCTCAAGTAAAGAGTGTGTGGACATGGATATTGTTCCAGATTCACAATGCCCCATGTGTGATGGGTTCTGGTCGGAGTCGTTGCCTGGTGAGGATTGGGTTCTTCTTCATATACTTCATATACCTCATATACTTCATATACTTCATATACTTCATATACTTCATATACTTCATATACTTCATATACTTCATATACTTCATATACTTCATGTACTTCATATACTTCATATACTTCATATACTTCATATACTTCATATACTTCATATACTTCATATACTTCACATACTTCATATACTTCATATACTTCATATACTTCATATACTTCATATACTTCATATACTTCATATACTTCATATACTTCATATACTTCATATACTTCATATACTTCATATACTTCATATACTTCATATACTTCATATACTTCATATACTTCATATACTTCATATACTCTCTATGTATCGCTAATAAATTTGTGTTCACTAATAAATGATAAATTTGTGTTCACTAATAAATTTCTGTTTGTTGATATCTTTGTGTTCGTTGATAAATTTGTGTTTCCTAATATCTTTAATAAATTTGTGTTCGCTAAGAATATTGAGCTTCCAGCGATTCCAACTCTTTGTGCATGCTTCAATTCTAATTTATACTTTTGTGTTAAACAAATGTGTTCATCTTAATAAACGTATTGCCCTTGTCGGCCACCGTACTTGTCGTGTGTATTGTAAAATTAAGTTTAGTTGATAAAGATAATTCTTTCTAGCGAATAAACATCATAAAAAACAACTGTATTGTGACATAAATGCATTATTGACAAACATTTTTAATAATTTTTTTCGGGAAATATAATCTGAACTGTGAACTTCATTCGGGCCTCTTTTGTTATTCTATACGAATTCAGTACGTTTTTTAAAATCCAGCTTTTGAGAAAAATCCACGTATCGGAGATGCACTTCGGCCCCAAACGATTTTGTCTGCGCATCTTAGAAAGCATGACTGAGAACTTGCGTTGAATATATTGGTGTTTTTACGTTTCTGGCGAAATTCAGAATATAAATAATGAATAAAGGAATCAACGAAGTGCCTTAAAATATAAAAAAACCTCAACGTTTCGGCGCCGTATTTGTCAGTGGATTAAGTCCCTCGGCTTAGAATGAAATTAAGTCAAGTCATATAATATTTTACGCAGTTGCTCAGTGATCATATGAAGGGAGTGTACTATCAAATAAGTGAAATAACCCATATTA